AGAGAGAGAGAGAGAGAGAGAGAGAGAGAGAGAGAGAGAGAGAGCTTTGCCTTAGTTTCGTTGGCCCGATATCGTCACGTTCGTGATGCACGCGCGCTATGAAACATTGGAGAGTAGAATTTAACGATTAGGAAGTCGAAGAAACTCGTGCGAGAGCTTCTCTCTCTCTCTCTCATGCTCATTCAATCAGTCAGTCAGTCATTCAGTCATTCATTCATTCATTCACTTATTCGCGGATTTGTAGCGCGATATACTGCAAGTTACATAACCCAGCGAATTTCTTTTTTGCCACCCTCGCAGGACGAGAAAAATTGTACAGAAGACAAGATGAGAAAGTGCGCTTGTCAGAAACACGCGTGCACGTCTACTTGCGAGGTCAAGGTGGAAACGCTATCGCCTACTGAGAAACTGTCGGTGGCGGCGAGCTGTCCCGGTAGTAAATTTCACAATTTCAAGATGGAGAACAACAACGTGAAATGCGAATCATGCAGTATGGAGCTCGGCGACGGGCTGCCGTGCGTCGCCAACTGCAACGTCAAGTGCGAGTCGGATTACAAGTGCGACATCATGAAGTGCGAGCAGTGCATGAAGGAGGGCGGGATCGTCCTGGAGCTCGACAAGAACCCCGGCATCGTGCTGGACGACAAGCTCGACGGCGACCCCAACGTCAAGGAGGAGCTGGACGTAGTGGTAATCGAGAATGAGAATTGGAAAAAGCCCGATTACGAGCCGACCGTGCGGGAGACAGTCGACGACAAGCGGGAAGAAGAAGATCAAGAGGAAGGTGAGGAAGGAGAAGAAGCGGTGGCGGAGACGCCGCCGGTGGCTGAAGCCGAGGAGCAACCGAGATGCCAGAAGGTGACGAAGAGGAAGCTCTCACTGGACAGCCTGTCGGACAGCAGGAAGAAGAGAAAGACGAGCAAGCGAGCTCTGTCGGTAGGCTCGTCCCAGGACAACAACAACGTGGAAAACGAGCTGCCGTCGGCGAAGATCATCGCGCCGATCGAGCCGTTGCCGAACAAGACGGACGCCGTCAGGACGGTGGAGACGAGCGCTCCGAAGAAGAAGCAAGTCAAGAAAGAGGCCCAGAAACCGGACAAGACCAAGCGTAAGGCGGAGGGCCCGAACGCGTCCGAGAGCGCGTCGAAGAAGGCGAGACCCAGCAAGCAGAGTATAAACAATTGCACGGTGAACTGCGTGAAACAGGCCGCCAGCGACACTTCGATCATGGAGACCATCGACAATGTGATCCAACAGAGCCTGCAGATGACGCAGAGGAGGGAGCGCAAGAATAAGAACTGCGAGCGCGCGGACAAGAAGAAGAAGCAGTTCGACGCCGAGGCGCCGCCGTTGGCGCTGAAGAAGAACGCGAAGAAGAGCGCCGAGCCGCCGAAGGAGCCCGCGGTGACGGTCGAGAAACAGCCGGCGAAGTTGACCGCGAGGAACGGCCAGGCCAAGGGCAAAGCGGACGCGAGATCCAAGTCCAAGGTCTTGTCAGCGCAGGAGATCGCGAAGAACAAAGGCAAGGGCAAAGTCAGCAAGATCGTCGAGGCCAAAGTCCAAGAGACCAAGTCGAGGACGCAGGACGCCAAGTCAAGGGACGCCTCGAAGAAACGCTGCGACGCCACTTTACCCAAGGCCAAGGCGAGCGTCCCCGACGTCGTGCCCGATGATCCGAAGAAGTTGGCCGCGAACAACAAAAAGAAGCGGAAGAACGCGAAGAAGCCGAGCGTAAAGAAGCAAACGTCCGGCGGCAAGGTGGAGGATCCCTCGACCGGGAACGAGAGCGTGGTGGTAACGAAAAGGATCTTCCTGAAGCCGCGGTGGAGCAACGGTTGGAGCTGGGAGGGCGAGCCTTTCGAGAGCAGGGTATATCTAACGGTAAGAGCTTTGAAAAGCTTCGATTTATATTCTGACAACGAAGATTCCGACGACCCGCGAATTCCAACAAACTGGAATTTTGCAGGAAGGAAACACATAGAACTTTAATAACGTGGGCATTTTTTGTGTTTCAGCTGAGGAACGGTTCTAAGGGTGAAAACATCTCCAGAGAGAGAATATGATTTTTCATATTTTTGAGATAATAGCCCTGAAATCATAAGAGATGTTAGGATGTTAAATACAAAATTTCATAGCATTTTAAATTCTATAGTGTGATAAGAAAATTTAGAAAATAAAAATTTGTCTATAAAAATATTTCACCCGCTGTCCCTTAATCTACATGTTATTTTTCATCGCGATGAAACAACTGTGGAACACTAAAAGTACCGTCAAATTTTGTATTTAACGTTTTGTTTTCCAATGTCTTTTATGATTTTAGGGATATCAGCAAAAATATTATATAAATTATATTTCCTTTGGAGAGTTACATTTCCTTTAGGAGGGTGCTTTTCTCCACCCCGAAACCATTTTTCAGCTGATACCAAAAGTAGCATTGAGTTCATGTGTGTTTTATTTGTGTAAAATTTTAGATTTCCCAGAATTGGACCGTAACTTTTCTTTGTAAGTTCCGCTCGGTGAAAAATCTCGATATCTCTCGAGCGCGAGAGGAAGAATTCCTCATCGTGAAGTGAACATGTCTCATTGTAGAACGAGGAATACGCGACACGGCGCTGTTACGCGAGCATGAGGCACGAGAGCGGGGACGTGCTGAGGCCCCTAGACTGCGTGTTGCTGAAAAGCGGCCCACGCAGGGCCGATTTACCGTTTGTAGCGAAAATCGCCACCCTCTGGGAGAATCCGGACGATGGTAGGTGTCTAACGGCATGATAACGATACGACGGATCAAAGGAAGGCATTCGCGCGTCTCCGTTTCCGTCACGTACGACAAAATTAGTGCGGACGAGAAACAAATGGCCGAGACGGCGATACCTTCCTTCATTCGCCGCATCCTTGATATCGCAATACAAACGACAAACTCCCTTGGACTCGACAACAGTCGATCACTATACTCTCTCTCTCTCTCTCTTTCTCTCTGTTCTCATTCAGGCGAAATGATGTTTTCGCTGCTGTGGTATTACCGGCCCGAGCACACGGAACAGGGTCGAACGGAGTACGACACCGAGGACGAGGTGTTTGCTTCGCGTCATCGAGATGCAAACAGTGTCGCTTGCATAGAAGACAAATGTTATGTCCTAACATTTAACGAGTACTGTCGGTGAGTAGACCCATCGTGGCGATGGAGTTTCATTATTCGAGCACGCTCCGTGAGCATTGAATAAATTCGAGGGGAGGTCGAGTAGTTCGTGACTTTACAATAGAAACGACAAATTGCATCGATAATTTGTTGTAAGCTGGTGCGTGTCTCGAGCTCGCGGAGCGTGTCAAAATCCAGAAGAGACTCGATCAGACAACGACCGCATGACTACTTATCCACCTAGTCGCGTCCGTCTTTTGTGATTGCAGGTACCGTAAAAATTTACGGAGGATCGAAGAAGGTTTAGAAAATCCTGGCTTGATAGTTCCGCCAGGGGACCAAGTGTATCCGAGGGAGGGTCGGCAGCCTCCTATAACGGCATCGTCGGACGTGGTGCTGTTCTGCCGACGTGTCTACGACTACCGCGGGAAGAAGCTCATGAAGAACCCCGGATGACTCGACTTCCTGTAAGATGCCTCGAATAGGAACCAACGGGATGCGCTACGTTCCGAGAACATATTAATTACGAAAACTGGCCGCAGGTCTCCCTTCAGGCGTTTAATCGCGTCGCTGTTGATCGATTTGTCTTGATTTCGAAAGGGGCAACGAGACCCGATCGTGATCCCGAGGTGATCAGCGGCTTCCGCTCTTTTCCGCTTCTCTCCGCGATCGGGCGGATCTTATCGATATCCGCGAGGAGTGACAAGCGGTACCTTCGATCGCGCTTACAAAACGACTCGACGAGAGGGTGGAGAAGGTGGACGCGTGGAGTTGGCACGCCTCGATCGGCGATCGGATCTCCTTCTCACCTTACTAAACGCGTAGATAGATTCTTAGAATGTTGCGAGAATGCGCGGGGGAAAAGGGAAAAGAAAAAAAAGAAGAAGAAGAAACAAACGCGAGGAAAGAGAGCCAGGAAAAGAGAGAAAAATGGCACGTCGTATACACAATATATATCGTATACACATATATATATTTATATTCGTATAAGGCTAAATATCCCTCTATCGCCGCTTATATTAATCCGTCTTTTTATCCTGCTCGTCTGCGATACCACAGAAATCATGATGAATCGTTCATTAATTCTGGTGATAAGACCCGTCGTTGCAGCGTCGCGGACTCGCGACTACGCGGAGAGAGCCGAATGAGAAGACACGCGTCACGTAGATCACGCACTAGTCCTGACGCGCGATATTCCTTTTTCCTCTTTTGCCTCTCTCCCCCTATTCCTATCTCTTCTGCCCTCCCAAGAAGGGCTCGCATTGTCACACGCGCCGCACATGTTCCTCTCCCGTGGCCGGCCGGACTCTCTCACTTGGACTCTCTTTCTCTCTCCCGCTCCGCGGGATTCAATCGAGATCTCTCGCGCTCTCTCCAGTCGGTGACGCGAGTCCGCGACGCATCGTGATGCAACGCGTCGCGTCGATAACGTGTAAGCTGTTTCTAGGGGGCGAGTTAGTGGGATTTGACAATTTTATAGAGAGAATCATATTTTTTGTGAGATAGCATTTACAACAATACACTTAAATGAATATTTTTCACATAGGAGGTACAAATGCGCGGCAGAGACGCGCGAGCGTGTCACGGCGCCTTCGGCTTGAAGGGAACCTACGATCAGTTGTCGACAGATAGGAATCAAAAAGCAGCGGCAGATCGAACTCGACCATTTAGCGTGAATAGCGACATAAGTGTTGTACTAAGTCCGATCGGGCCCCGTGTGCCGCCCGATGCGAGGGGCGACCAGACATCAACGCGTGTGCGACATCATTGTTAGACACTCCCATTGAATCCCGTGGAAAATATATCCCGTGTTTTGCACCCATCCGCCGAGGGAGACGTATCCTCCTCTGAAACCGCGCGTATGCGTCACCTTTATGAGCGTTCAATCATCGCGGCGATGAAAAATGCATTTTTACGGTTGGTGCCGGAGCGGGCACGCGAAATGCACGGAGATTAGAAGTGGCTCGATTCCACCACTGAGGTTGCGACTGAGGTTTGCACTCAGCGAGACGTCAATATTTTGGTACTGTACTATATTTTTTGACGATTTTTACTCCAATGAAATTTTGACAGTGCATAATTTTTATTTTGTGAATTTAGTGTCGGCTTGCCCCTTTGGTGGATCTTTGACGGATAATCGTCAGCGTTGTCTGTTTTGACGATCAGGTTTATTATGTTGCATTGAAAAACTATATCATGTTCTACCGTGAAGTATTCACAATCTGACATGTGTCAAACACATGCACAATTAGATATTTTCGCACAACAATTATCCAATAGTTTCTAGCTATATACAAACGATCGAGGTCCTCAAAGCATTGTGAAGGAGAAGAATCGCGCCATTTCTAATTAAGACGCCACGTAAGGAGATCTGTTTGTAAGTTTTTGAATACGCAATGATAAGAGGTCCGAAAGAGATTCAGAAGACACAGAACATCGTCGGGAACGTTTGTGTTTTTGGACCCGTTACGCACCGCGAGTCCCTTCTAAATATAGATTCGATTTATTTTTTCTCCTTTTTTTCTTTTTGTACGATTATTCCTTTATTTGGGTCACGATCTCTGAACTATATCAAGAACGAAAAGCGTAATTGTATATTTTCTTTATAAACTTTTTTGGTATATGTATATCATTTCGAGTCAAACCGAGTCACACCGAGCATTATTGCTGTGTATCGAGAACGCGTGACACGAGAAGCTTAACCCTTGACTTCTCGGAGATCTCGATCTTAACCGAGTTCGCTCGCGAATTGAGCGCGTTGCTGGAACGCAACGGAAATTAAGTCACTCGGAGAGAATGCGACGGAAAGGACGAATGTAGAGTGAATGGCGGTGATGAGGTTCACGCTCGCCGTTTGAGAGAAAAGTCGAAAGTTACATAACACGCGAAAAGCGATCCACGTTAGCGTATAAGATGTGTTAAGGCTACGTTCGCGTTTGAGGGTTAATTTTCTCATGCGAATTACATCATTGTGAAAGTTTACGAAAATTCACGAGGTCGTCGATGATGAAGGACTTCGGAATGCAGTTATTCTGTGGAAATTTCGAGTAAACGTTAATATTTGTTGAGTGACGGGTGTGTGTTTTGTTAGAAACCATATTATTTAAAATTAATATATTGATGATATAGGATTATTATTTAATATCTAATATATTGGACGTATAGATGTTATACATAAGTTATTTTCCGCGAGTGAGAGAGAGAGAGAGAGAGAGAGAGAGAGAGAGAGAGCGAAAGCAAGAGCAAGAGAGAATGAGAGAGATTGAGAGAGAGAAAGAAAGCGAGAGGACTAGAGAGAAAGATTAATGCGCGCGGTGTGGTGCCTGCATGTGTATGTGTACGTGCGAGAGAATGGAAGAGAAAGAGAGATAGAGAACAAGTGAAGAGAGGAAAACAATAAGCAACTAATCAGGAAATAGGCGAGTAAACTGGAAATCTTGTAGTGAAGGAGGAGAGTGTGAGAAAAAGAAAATAGGAAATGTAGCGAGAGACCGTATTTGTGAGAAAGAGACAACTCGTGATAATACCAAAAGGTTCTTCAATTTACAAAAGAAAAAAGGAAGAAAATCTTTCCGTTGCGATACGACGGTGCGTTGCTCGTGACGCGCATCCGGTAACGCACACTCGACGTCGGTGCGCTCCGATATAATCGACGAGGTATCGAGACTCCTAGTGTTTACGTAAAACGCCGTACACTCACGCGTGGGTGGATTTCGCAGAACGGACGCAGTTCCAACCGAACGCCCGAGTCCTCACGCAACAACAAACGCACTTCCGCTTTCCTCCGTGTTCATCAATCGGGAGATCGAGAGAGACGATAGGTATATAGCACCCCCCGTCATTAAACACGTCTGTTATAACACGTAAATTCCAAAGAAAACGCCGAGCTCGCGAGGGGTGCGCAAATCGCGGCGCTCGTCGGTAATCCACCGGGTTCTTGCGTAATCTTTTTATAGATAGTTTTATATTGCTTTTTAACGAGTAACGGAAACGCGTGAGAGAGCGAGAGAAAGAAAGAGAGAGAGAGAGAGAGAGAGAATGAGAAAGAGAGAGAGAGAGTGAGTGTGAAACCGCGCAAAACATAGATTTTTTTCTATAAGGAAAGAGTGAGAAAGAGAAGAAGTGGAAGATAAAAATAGCGAAAAATGAAACAGGACGAACACTCGCCAGAGAGATGTGCGAAAAAGAGAAAGAGAAAATAGAAGTAGTTACACACGTGCGTCACTTGACACCTTGCTGTCGCAAAATCGCGAAAATCGAAACGAAATAGACGGACCGCGCGCATGTAAATAGCCGCGTATATTCGCGCGTACGTGTGGTAGTACTATAGAAAATGGGGGGAAATACAAAAAGAAACGAGAAAAGCGCGGCGCGAGCCGCACGCGCACGTATGCGGGTGTAATTTTCACGAATCTACCTACCTACCTACCTACCTACCTACCTACCTACCTACCTACCTACTTGCCTACCTACCAACCTACCTACCTACCTACCTACCTACTTACTTACCTACCTACCCTATTTACCCACCTACCTAATTACCAACCTATCTTCCTACCTTCCACCTAACCCATCTATCTTCCTATATCTATCTATCCACCTATCTTCCACCTAACCCATCTATCTATCTACTTATCTACCTTTACGACATGGTTAACATGGGAACATTGCGCACGAATGCATATCCTCTGTTCATTTGACGTAGTCGACAAAGTTTTTCCATCAGTTGCGAGAGAGCGATGCGAAGCTCTCTCTCTTTTCGGTCGTTCGTAAGGACTGCTCTCGTGTTCATGCGGGACGTGCGAAGCCCGCAGCTCCCTCCCTTCGTCTCCTGCCCTCCCGCCACCCTCCTTGCATCCGCTTTAATCAAAATGCAACAAGTGTCGGCCGCGCGCGCGCGCTTGTCGAGATCGGGTGTCGTAGGTCGCGTCGCGTCGAATAGCTCGCGAAATATCGTGCCGAGCGCGACTGTTGACTCTCTGGCCTCGGATTTTTTTCGTTGCTCGGGGTAGATGCGATCAAACTGCAAGTGCCGACCTCCGCGCGACGACGGACAGATATGACAGATGTATTACATATGTATATTTATCGAATCAGACGTCGATCGGACGTTATCGCGAACAAGGATGTTAAGAGAGCGAAGGAACGTTTTCGCGTCGGATCGGCGAAGGAAATCGGGACTCGAGACCGCGCGGCACATCCTCGATAGCGAATGAGCACCGTTTCGGCGAAAAATCGAGACGAGAGCGAGGAAAAGAGACGAGGAAAACGTTCCGTCGCCGTTTCCATCGCGACCACTACTCGCCCGATCTCGAGAACGCGACCGCTGCCTGCGAGCGAAACGAGCCAGTGAACTTTCAATACGCGCGGCGTTACGCGGTTCGCCGTGCGGATAGTGGATTTCTCTTCTGGTTTATTCGTCGGAGAAAAACGGAAGAGCCGCGAAAGAGTGAGAGAGAAAGACAGAGAGAGAGAGAGAAAGAGAATGAAAGAGAGAAAAAGAGTGAAAGAAAGAGAGAGAGAAAGAGACGCGCGAAAAATTTTGTAATCGTAGGCGAGTGCCTCGTTCTCTGCGAGACTTGTACGTCCTGCCACGGTGTGTGTTTCTCTCATTTGTACAGACGTATTTTTGAAAACGTATCGCGCGGTGTATACCGGGTTGAGGATCAAATTATCCGGAAACGCGACCGGATATACGGATCGTATCCGATCCAATTGTCCAAAGATACGAGTTTTCGGATCATCGGTAATAACGTTTATTTGTATTAGTTGGTCGAGTTTTGTAAACAGGGACGACGGCTCTTGACGCGCGCATCCCGAGCAAATTCCGTTCCCCTTGCGAGGGGGAGAGTTCCATCTGTTTTTCCTTTCTTTTATTTTTTTCCTTTGCATCGCGATATATCACTTTATATCTTGTTACTATAAAGGTATGCACGTATTCGTTTATCTCATCTGTATCGCTGCTAACGCGTAGATTCCTACAATTAGTATTTCCTAAGAGTATTTCGTAATACTTTGAGATACCAAATAAACTTTATATAGGTATATTTTATATAAGTATAGAGATATATTATTATGTGAATAAAGTATGAATCGCATTTTTTTTTACGTACACGTATATCGATATCGTCGCATGAATTTGGACCGCTTGGCTTGGGAGTAACGAGAGACGCCGAAGCTTTCAAAACGCGGGCTGAGAGTATCGTTCACGTGCCGCAAACGCGCTTCGTCTGTGCACTCCATACACGCACTCTAAACACAAACATATACACAAACATACACACACAAACCTTCTGATTTAGTTTGTCGTAAATTGTTCCCGAGAAAACAAATGAATTGGGGATTCGTACGATCCGACCCAAATCGCGTACATCCAAAACGAATAAAAATAAACGTACATTTAAATAAACATGTACCTCGCAGCTGTCGATCGTAAGTGCCAATCCAAGTAGCTGAATTGAAGAGTTTTGCGGTAATGTCTATATATTAAAAAAAAAAAAAACAAAACGCCTGCGTTTCTTCTTTTCATTTTCTCATCCGCGGGGAACGACGTATGTCCCGCGGTGATCGCGGTAACGCGACATCGAGTTCGCTCATTTGTTTCTCCAGAATCATTGTACTTAGTTCGCGTCGTGTGCGCGCGCGCGTGCGCGTGAATAAACGGACAAAAAGATAAGAATCGTTGTGAGAAATGCACAAGGCTCGCAGACCGACCGCGCGTCCCTTCGAAGAAGCGAGGCACGCCTAGGAGACACGACACTCCAAATGCTTGTAACTGTAAATCGTCATCACGTAGAGCGTCTTGAACTAAGTACTGTTGACAGAAATAAACAAGAAGTCTAATTTACCAAGTGTCTTACTAAAGTATTCTTACTCCGATTATAATACCGATAGAAGACGGCGGATACGGATTCGCGCGCGCGAGTAGTAGAGAGAAGAACGCGTAAGAGTGTGTGCGACTCGATGTTAAAATAATGGCAACTCGATCGAAAGCATCGATCTGCGAGGACCCCCACGTCTGTCTGTATCGCCATTGTTATAGGAGAAAGAAAGAAAGATAGAAAAAGAGAAGGAGAATCTCGTCTCGCATCGTAAAAATTTATCGTCGCTCACATACACGCGACTCCTGTTAAAAATCGAGAGAAGAGAAGAGGAAAGTCGGAAGAGAAAAAGGGAAACTGTAAGCCGATTGATTTCTGCGACTTCGGGCAGTTTTGCGACGGTGTCATCGCGACTATTCAAGAGAGAGAGAGAGAGAGAGAGAGAGAGAGAAAGAGAGAGATAGAGTTCGCACTCGGATTACGAGAATAAAGTGTTCCGTGCACATTTTGCCTTGCCATCATGTGAACAACGAGTCGTCCGATCGACGCAGCCGACTACTGCATCTCGATCGATTTCCCGCGTTTACGTTGCACTCTCGTCGATCGAGATTCGCGACAACGGACTCGGACGTCGCGCAAAGACGCGCGAGTCGCGACTCTCTCTCTCTCCGCGTCTCCGCAGTGCGGGTCGTAGACGCAATGAGTGTTCTGTCCTTATCGTGACGAGGACCCTTCCAGCGTTTTGATCTCGACGCGCGGGAGAACGCGCTGAAAATTCGGCGTTCGGTATATCTTTCTCCTTTGAAAAATTAGATACCGATTAGAAAGCGCTCGTCTAGAGAGAACGGCAAATCGAACGGCAACGCTACACACGAGCATATAAATACAATAAAAAGAGAGAAAAAGAGGTATTATTTCTACACGCGAAAAAAGCTAAGATAAAGGTATATATATATATATATATAAATAATATATATATAAAAAAGTATATATATATACATAAATATACATATATATATTTAGTTAATTAGAATATGAAAAATATATATATATATATGTATATGATTGAGGAAATGAATGATTATAAATACGGAATACACACACACACATACATCGTTATCACACGTGAATCTACATACACACACACACACACACACAAACATATACAGACCACCTACGCATACGAACGACACGTACGGTACAGAGCAATACGTGATACTTCTGTGGAGGACAGGGAACAAGAAGATAATACAAGTGCCAGAGGCATTCCTAGGAGACTCATTGCTTTTTCCCGTCTGCGGTCTTTTCTTTCTTCGTTGAATTCTCGGAGAACGGGTCCTACGTCGATGTATATTAGCGAACGACGCGTCTCGCGGTCCTAAGTTCGGATCGTTTCTAGAGAGCGACATCCGCATCCGTACATCAGTTGCGATTGTCGTGCAAAATCACTGTGTTGTATACGGCGCGACCGCGACGAGATTCGCTCGAAGACGCGATCGAATCTACGAGAAGAGAGAGGAACCCGCGACTCGTGTCCGGCAGGTCGAGGAAAAGTCTTCGCGCAAGAGGTTCAAGTTCCGGTTGCATTTCCGCGGAAGGCCGCGATCCAACGCGACTGTTTGGGAATCTGGCCCACAGCCTCGGTGATTCGAGCAATCTCCGCAGTGTTGATCAATAATAACGTAATTAGCCAAGAGCGAGTTGAAATTTAAAAATATATGCGCGAAATAATAATCTTGATCGATGCAGCACACTTGCAAAAATGTCCAGACACTTTCTCTAACCTCAATAATCAATATATAGTCGAAAATTAATGTAACATACAACTTGCGTTTTTAACCTATCTGTTCCTCTGATTTCTATTGCATCAATTTTGCGGCTGTTTATTGTTCAGGTTAAAGGAAAGTGTCTGGACATTTTTACAAGTGTGCTGAATCGATCACAACTGTCATTTAATGCGTGCATTCTTTGATTTCTGATTACGTAATATACGATACCGTAATATGAATTGGCGTGTAATTCCTCACTTTTAAGGTCATCAGACAAGGACAGCGAGGGTCCAAGAGCCTTAATTAAATCGCCAAGAATCAGTTGAAATTCGCGACGCTTTTCCGAAGGCTTCCGGCCAGCCTCGCGCGCGTGTCCGCTCCCGGACTCTCTTCTCGACGAGGAGCGATTCTCGCAGCGGTGGTCCGTCGTGCACTAATCGGTACGCAACCAGCGGTGTCACTTTGGCAGATTCCCTACTGTCGTAGTCGCGCACGACCACATAGATTCTCTCACAAGATCAGCGAAACACGCGAGAAACACCGAGTTTCACCGGCAAGTCGAGTGCTTCCTCGAGGTGTCACGCGTTACTTTCAACGGTATATTTCGTACAAATACTATATCTACTTTTAGACTGTAATTTGTAAGCTTCGTAGAAGTGACAGAACATACAAGATCAGAAACAATGGGAATTAAGCGACGCGAACGCAGCGCGGACGAGCGCGTTTCCACGCAAGAGAGGCCACGATAACTCGTTTCTCTCCTCCTCCCCTTCTCTCTCTCTCTCTCTCTCTCTCTCTCTCTCTCTCTCTCTCTCTCTTTATCTCTTGCTTTTTTGCCCCACTTCCACTAACATCGCGATATTGCTCTGCACGTGTTCTCTCACCTCCGGTGTTCGATTCCGCGATTCCTTTATCGCGTGCCCGCGAACGCGCTCGTCCGTGCGTGCCGCTGCGAGTTCCGCGCGTTTTTAGAGCCGCAATGTGTTTTTCACGGACAACCGACGACGTAATAGATCCTCTCGCGACCAAGCGCAGAAACCGTGAACGACGTGGTGGGCGCACGTCGTTGTCTTGTAACATTGTAAATTACTATAAAATGGCGAACGTTTAATAAATTATTTGATCAAACCGCTCTCCCGTTTCTTTCGCGCCCGCTCTCTTCTCGTCCTTTCCCTTTGCGCGTTTACCCGTTACAATTTAACATGTCGACTGTTATACCCGTAACAGACTACCGACTGTACAGGCCGACTCGACTGCCGACTACACTGAAAAAAAAAGTTTGGTAATACTTACCAAATGCGTTTTATATCATATCATTTGGTAAATAGTAACCAATATGGTAAATATTACCAAATGTTTGATAATAATTACAAAATTGTTAGTAACATTAACTTTCATATAATAATATTCACTTCTTATATTTAGTTGATACTATTTTACTAAATGTAGTAACTGTAACACAGGCTGGATAATTATTACCAGAAATTTTTTTTAGTGTACGACTGCCGACTCTCAATGGACCAATTATGGCCTTTCTACAATAAGCCGTTAGTCGTAATACATAACGCATAATACATGAGGCATAAGAGAATCCACCAATCAGAATTCTTCATTTCTATTCTGAAGGACTGCAATTGGTGGATTTTCTTATGCGTTATATGTTACGACTAATGGCTTATTGTAGAATGTGCTTTACAGCAAAGCGCCGACTGACCGAATCGACTCGCGTTTAGACTTCAATCTATTTTTCGTGTCGGCGACCCGTGTCATAACCAATCGTAAGCCCGTATCAAAAGTATATGCATTGAAACATTACAATGTAGCGTATATAAACAATTTTTACGTTTTAACATTGACCGACTGGAGTCGGCAGTCGAGTCGGCCTGTGCAGTCGGTGATCTGATAGGCTTTAGTCTCCGTTGATTGCACGAATTGACTTCCGGAGTTTATTACATTCATCTCCCGCGCACCATCGTGCTTCCTTCCGATCCTTCGAGAGATCACGCGTGAGGATCAGTTTCCCCCGCGGGGTGACTAATGGAATCGAGTCGGAAAAGTGTCATTGGGAACTTGATTACCTTCGGAACTTTAAAAAGTGGAGTATATCGAGTGTAAAAGTGGAGTAGTAATTGAAGACTCAATTGACGATCGAATCGCCAAAGGTTCGTTAGTTCAGTCTGTTCAGTCGTTTTCAAATGCAATTAATTATTGCACCATAACGCGGCGACTATCATGGCATCAACGTGTTAAGGATTTCATTATGAAATATTGCCCTAATAGTAGAGTAAATGTGCTGAAATAGTTATTATTATTATTATCATCATTTATATTATTATTACCATTAATTTGTCTTTATCAAGTTATCGACGCCTAGGGCTCGACGCGCGGCCCCCTTTTATGTTAATTCCGACGTTGCAAGCATAAATTAGTTCCGCCCCGAAAGGAGGACAACCCAGCCGGGGCAATATTCGCATGTCGGTCCGATCGGGCGCCATAAATTCTCCGACTTGGTTCGGCTTAATCCTAGAACCATGAATGTCGGCACGAACGCACGGCGTTCTTTTCGAGGATTATGCAACGTGAAGCGAGCTCTCCCCGGGGCCCAGGAGACAGGCGGTTTCAGGAAAGCCGTTGATCGTCGTGGTCGCTCGAGAAGAAACGACGACGAATCTGTGTACTGCTAGGTTGACTCAGCCGAACGAGACGGATCCGCCGTCTTCTACGCTCGCGAGAAACCCCTTCTGAAAATTTCGTGAGAACTTTCGTCTCCGTGGATCTTTATCGTCGCTGCCTACCAACGGATGAAACTCGAAAGCCGACGCGCCTCGAAATCCTTCTATTTGTTACACATTACGCGTGCACGTGAGACTCCACTTTTTAAAGTTCCGAAGATAATCAAGTCCCCAATGACACTTTTCCAATTCGATTCCATTAGTCGCCCCGCGGGGGGAACTGATCCTCACGCGTGATCTCTCGAAGGATCGGAAGGAAGCACGATGGTGCGCGGGAGATGAACGTAATAGACTCCGGAAGTCAATTAAAAGCTCGCTCGGCGACTTCCGCGCACAGCGCAGCGGAAGCGCATGAAAGACGGCTGCGGGAGCGGAAGGAGACCCCCGAGAGAGAAAGGATGCCCCCAAGAAACGGCGGCGCGACAGGATATTGCGATCAGCGGTCAACGGTGACAACGAGGGCGCGTTTTCAAGTTTTAATCCGCGACTGAGAAAAGAAGAGAAAGAGTGAGGAAGGGAGGGAGA